TAATAATTAGTAGGAAATATTTAGTATAGCTTCGGGGAGCTCGCTCACCCACATTACATGATAGTGTTACAAATATGAGTGATCTCCGAGGTTATTCGTACGTCGATCGTGCGACGGAGCCTGGAGTACGCTGTCGGATGTTGCTGCAGCTAGAGCGCGCCGCCTTCGTACGGTGTCTTGATTGGGTCACCCTTCATCTTCTGCCCCGTAGGCTCTTCCCTCTCATTACCCCGTAGGGCGCTTCACGGTCAAGCCGCGACCTCTCCCAAAAAGGGATAACGGAGTCCGCAGTGCGCGAAGCACTTGCAGGACCCTTTACGTCGTACGACGCGAGAAGAGGGGCCTTGCTTGCTCGACTAACAAAGGTATCAGCTCCCTTGCAGGACTAAGCAGGGTCCCCTCAAGCTCAACAGTGTAGTGAGTACAATGCTGACGACTTGTACTGAAGGTGTAGCCGCCGTACGACAACACTTGTGACTCGAGGCCACGAGTTGTAAGCCATGATTGCTCAACTAACGAAAGTGCCAAATCCTTCGCGGGACTAATCATGGTTCTTACAGAACTCTAGAATATTTCGGAGCCCAGCTTTTGGCTGCTGAATCTCATTGCGTGGTCGCTTTCACGACGAGTCGAGTCCGGGTCATGACACTAAGGAGTCCACAAATTTTAGACGTGATTGTACAAGGCATATTACGAAATTCCATGGCAACAGCCCATGGTAACCATGGAAACGGAGGATTCCACTTCAGTAGCAGGCTAAGAAACACATTAGGTCCTGACCACGATCGATGCGCCATGGTCAAAATTCAATTTGGAAAGAGTTGCTAGCGCTCCGACAGGAGCATGTGCAGCCATTTTGACAATTGATAAAACTGCATTTAACGCACTCTCCACATACAGGCATGTACCCGGCTCAGAACACATTGTTTTCTGGTTGGCATATCAGGGATATTGGGCGGAGCAGCTGGCGTGCATGAGAAAGACAGGTCGGCCTGCTCTGCGCAGGAGTTGTGACGCGGTGCACACATAGTGTGAGAGGGAGAGAGAGACTGACAGGTCGGCCTGCTCTGCACAGGAGCTGTGACCTGGAGCACACAGAGTGTGAACGAGAGACGGTCAGCCTGCCGTGGGCAGGAGCTGCGACCGGTAGTGATTGAAATGAGCCAGCTGAGGAGATAGACTGCCCTCACCCGATATAAGTATATTGACAAGAATTGTACTGACACTGTGATTGAGGAAATTATGGTGACAGTGACGGAGAGATAGTGATCCCCAGTCGAATGGGGTTGGGAGGGAGGGGAAAATTGACAACTGACGGACAAACCAGTGAACAGTCAAGTCGTCGGAAAACAGAAGTGACAAAGGAGTTTTCTGCAAAGCAAGATTTGGAAAGCACGCGTGGGAGAGTGGCGCGCACGCTGCGCAATGCGCATGCGCATGTATAGCAATGACATCATAATCGGATGCATGATCATCAGACTAAGTATGAGTGGTAGATGTTCCACGTTTGTTAACAGGGCTCAGCGCACACGCTAAACCACCATTAACGCACTCTCCACATACAGGCATGCACCCGGCTCAGTACACATTGTTTTCTGGTTGTCATATCAGGGATATTGGGCGGAGCAGCTGGCGTGCATGAGAAAGACAGGTCGGCCTGCTCTGCGCAGGAGTTGTGACCCGGTGCACACATAGTGTGAGAGGGAGAGAGAGACTGACAGGTCGGCCTGCTCTGCGCAGGAGCTGTGACCTGGAGCACACAGAGTGTGAACGAGAGACGGTCGGCCTGCCCTGGGCAGGAGCTGCGACCGGTAGTGATTGAAATGAGCCAGCTGCGGAGATAGACTGCCCGTTCCCAATATCCCCAATATGGCATGGGAGTAATAATGAAATACGATTAGTGTATTGTGCTCTACTGACAGCGGTAACGTAAAGCTAAAACCAAGCAGTTCAGGCACAATGTGGTCACTAACCCACAGCTACCATTGATGACTTTGAACTGCAGCTAATTGACGTGACACTCGCAGGGTGTCAGCTGTAGCAGCCCGGATGTAGCGGTGGACCGCATCACTGCGCCATCTACCCATGACACGGATGATGTGTTCGGGGACACCTGCCATGGCCGCTGATGTTGCGGCGCCAATCCGAAAGAGTGACTGGTATATGCACTCGGATCCGTGACCCCACAGAGAGGCAGCAGGTTGCGCAGTTCAGAGGACACTGCATTTCTTGTACAAGTAAGCGGCTGGCCATTGGCATAAGTGAACAGATGGTCGCCGCCGGGGCGAAACGCCAGGTAGTTCGCCATGGCCTGCACTGGGCAGATCAGTGCGTCCGTGCTGGCTCCAACCAACACTGTGTGGCCCGCGCTGTTGGGGTCCATCTTAGAGGAGCGCTCGTTTACCGCTAACGACCGCTGGTCAGTACTGATCGTCACATCACATCGCCTCAGGCCAGCAGTCAGTTCTCCACAACGGAAGAACCCATGAAACGCCAAGGAAAAAGCTGCCCTTAGCATGGCCTTGTCGTGAGGGTGCCGCATGCGTGGAATGGCAACATGCCGGCAGATCTCCCTGAGAAGTGGAGTGGTTATTGGCAGACGATGACGGTGTGTCGATGACGACCTGCCGATGCCCTGCAGGACCCTAGCGAGGAGAGTCATTGGGCCCGACGGGTAAGTAAAGCCAAGTTCCACATGAAGGTTGCGGATTGCCGACATGTAGACACGGACAGATCGGGCTGAAGAGTCCTGAACAACTCGGCCGCAAAATAGCACAAAGTAAAGTCGTCGTCTGGCAATGGATTGCAGGCATGCACTTGACAGAACTGGAAGTAGCGGGTCTCGGCCGTAGAATACGCCTGGCGGGAGGATGGTGCTATTGCCAGTGCTGCTAGCTGTAGCACGGAGTCCGTCAACGGAGAGTTGGCAAGACTGGCTGATCTGGCTCGGCTGCTGCTTCCGAGGCCTGGCGCCTGAATACCTGCAGCAAATTGCGAGACAATGCATCGGCGACAGTGTTACTGACACCAGAAATGTGGACAGCTGACACCAAGAAGTCATGCTCAATACACCGCAGATACATGCCCGGATAAGAGTCATGACTGGTGGTGAACGGCAGGTACCGGAGCGTATACAGTCCACCACGGCCTTGTTGTCACACTGAAACTGAATGCGTCGCCTGCTCCACTCCGAACCCCAGGTCGCGCAGGCAGCTACGATAGCATACATTTCTTTGAACTCAATGTTCTCGTTCTCGTTCTGGGCTGTCCACTCTCCTCTCATCCACCGGCCGTTGTAGAAGACACCATAACCATGAGTGCCGCTGGCATCAGTCTGTAGTTGCATGCACCTTCTCAGGTGCAACTGGGACCTGTAAATATGCAAACAGGTCGAGCAGTAGTGACTTCTGGTGCTGTGCAAGAGGAAGACTGGGAGGCGATACATTCAGAAAGTCATCCAGATAAAGAATGAGATGGTGAAGGCGGCATGTGTCCTCCAGAACCCAGTGAAGGGCAGATGCAAACTTGTCAAATATGTACGGAGCTGACCGAAGGCCGAACGGGAGGACTTTGTCGAAATAGTAAAGACCAAAAGGCCGAACGGGAGGACTTTTTCGAAATAGTAAAGACCATCCCAAGAGATACCCAACAAGTGCCAGTCAGAGGGGGAAACAGGGCATAATTGGAAGGCATTTCGAATTTTTTTTCTCGTGAAGCAGGACTGCCAGAGGTTAGGGTCCAGTTGCCGCCAGGAATACAGGTGCAGCATGGCAGCAAGACCAGCACGGAAACGACGGTCATAGGTCAGCCACGCGTCGGTCAGGTTTAATTATATTATTATTATTGTTGTTGGCCTCGATGATGGTGGCTTGGTACGCCAGCAAATCTGGGGCTTGGTCCGGCGACGCATCGACCAGGACTCTGGTGAACAAGGTGAAGGCCTCTAACCACGTCGCCAAGTCATGGACTCGGCGCTTGGAGGGCTGGGGAGTGGACGAGCTCTCCGCCAGTTCAACGGACTTACCGTTCACCAAGGACAACTGCAGGACATCACTACTGCCGGACATGGCTTCAGGCAACAAGTCGCCAAATTCAACAAACTCACCGCGTGTGATACGTTCCCGTAGCCGTGGAGGGATGACGGGGAGTCCTGGAGAGCCGGCCGCGCAAGCCAAGTGCATCGGCGTAGGCTGCCCCAGCGCCAGAGGAGCTGATGTTGGTGCTGGTGTTGGAGCTATGGGCGAGGTGGTTGGGGCGACGATGTTGGATTCCAAGCGCTCCGCGCGCTCCAGGAGGGGCTGGATAATGCCAGTCAGGTCGCTCAAGGTGAGAGGAGCTGGTTGTGACGGCGCAGGAGAAGTCACCTGGTCCGCGTTGGCGGAACTGTGCCCATGAGCATGGGTCACACGGGACCTCGCTCTCCGATGTTCTTGAGAATTCGCAGAATTCACAGCCCGCTACGGATACGGGTATAGAGCTGGGGACCGTCAGCGTCAGTTCCATCAGCGCTTGTACCCCGTGAGGTGCTCCGTGTTCGCGGCATATCCGTTGAGGCAGGAAAATGAAGCAAATTGAAAACTGACGGACAAACCAGTGAACAGTCAAGTCGTCGGAAAACAGAAGTGACAAAGGAGTTTTCTGCAAAGTAAGATTCGGAAAGCACGCGTGGGAGAGTGGCGCGCACGCTGCGCATGCGCATGTATAGCAATGACATCATAATTGGATGCATGATCATCAGACTAAGTATGAGTGGTAGATGTTCCACGTTCGTTAACAGGGCTTAGCGCACACGCTAAACCACCAATACATGTATGCAATTCACTGGACATAGTCTTACATTTTTTTGCGCCACTACTTTGCCTTACAAAGACCTCATCTCAACAAATGCTTCAAGAAAATCCTCAACCAAAAGCACTTTTGCAGCGCGATTTCTTGGGGCCTACCGCTAGGATGGTAGGATGGTAGGACGGCCATGCAAGCTATCATTACTAGATACATACCCGGGTGAGAATAGGTACATAGGTTGAGTTAGCGATTAAGCCCACCGAGCCGTTAGTGTTGGACCTGACAGTGGATGCGCACAGTCCGCAGCACAGGCGATTGAAGCCGACCGTGAAGCCCTGAGCCTGATCGCCGCAGGATGCCTGATAAAAGCTAAATAGGCCCGCAACACCCAGGGTATCGTTGCATGAACACCTGGGCCTGAAGAGAGGAGAGCAAACACGGAAGTACTATGATGGAGAAGAGTCCATAAAGAATGGAATAGTTTCGCATTTGCCCAGATCGGGAAAGAACTGATTACAAAAGCAAAAGCATTTAAAAAAGCGCATGTCAGAAGCGCATTGGCATGTTGCGCCTTGTGGTATGTGGAACATGACGCCACACACCCAGACTGCTTTTGTACATGCCACCACTAACGTTAGGCCAGACGGCACCAAGAACCAGACAGCCACCAGACCAAACGGTAGCAACTTATTTGTGTGTTTCGGCGAAGCAATGACACAAAGGTCTAGCCACCAATCCTCTTCGACATGTGTACAACGTCCTACCTGAAACATGCGCTTTGCGGAATAGAAAATTATGGAAGAATATCAGTGGCACAACACCCGCATGTACCGTAAAGTACCGCGAGAGCGCCCCATCCTGCGAGACCGCCTTATCCCGCAAGAGCGCCCCACCTTGATTTTACAGCCAGGGAAAAGAAAATCGTATGGCAGAGTGCAACGAAGTTTGTACGGTGTGAGAACCTTAGGGTACTACAGTCACACTTGGCAGGTTTCTGTGTGGAGCACGAAGGTAAATTGAGTGTGGGTTGATTGCACAACGTGCAATGTGTGTACAAGGTTAGTGTCGTATGACCTACAGACAGGACACCACCTCCACAATACGACCACGAAAGGACGAGATGGCGGGGCGCCCTATAATCCGTTTCAAAAAGATTAGCAATCAGGTTTTGGTCTTCACAAGTATGAAGATAAGGGAAACTCGGACAACAAAGTACATAGAAGGGATTGTTACTACTGTATACTGTAAATATACAAAATTTCGGCGCTGCAAAATTTCGGCACTGCACGATTTTTGGCATTTCGGTGGCGATTTATTTTCGGCGTGGGGTAGACGGCATGGTATAGTGCGACAGATGCTGTGAAAAATTTCATCGGCGTTTTAATTTACCTAGTAGGCGTTTTGGGTCGGTGCCGAATATAGCCGAAATTAAATAGCTGCCGAAAATTTGTATATTTACAGTAAGTACAAATTTTCGTTCACTAAAAGCACCATTTCGTTCTTATAAAAGCACGGATGACCGCAATTGGCCCATATGTTGTAGTCTTTTGGACGCTGAGTCGATTGGTTTTGGTCCGAAAAGGCTGCGATGTAGCGTTCGGCCCTTATTCCCA